GCCATTTATTTTTTTGGTTGCAATTCAGACGTTTATTTGTGTGTCGACAACGATAAGTGTTTGATGCGAAATGAATATGAGTGAAACGCATTTGTTGCGCCAATTAAATTATTATTATGGAATAGACAAAAACTGTCGTCGCACGTCACATGCGCTTGGCTGCGGATCCACATATGGATCGATATGACGATGAATGAACGAAACGTTTGTGATGCACACACGAAAAACTCATTCTTCTTGGAAAGTGTGTGTATGAGGTTTCGGTCGGTGTTTTGTCTCCGACTTTTTATGAGCATTGAGGAAATAAAATGCACAATAATTCCAAGAAAATTTCATCCGAGCAAACCGAAAAGTTATGGTATATTGCATATGAATTACTTGTGAGCGCAAGTGTTAGTTGTGCATTTTAACGATGTTACGCGAGCTATGTACTCAAACGACATTCCAATCGCATCTTTCCGCTATAATATACAGTTCAAACACAAAACAACACCGATCATTCAAAATTCGTCTTACTTATCACTCACACATGTCACCAAATCATTCACATTCCATGTGAAACACAAAGTCGGGAGAGGGAGACGAAAATGCCTAAAAAACCCATTGACGCATTCTTCTAAAATATATATAGCAGCAAGAGCATTGATGATTATGTTGCCGCATTCATCTATTTCTATTAATCTATATAGCGACAGTGTGAGTGTGTGTTGATATTGATGTTATGAGTGACAACTATTAAGTCGAAATGTCCAATTGCTTGTTGCATTTTGTTCACCTTTTTGTTTAACTCATTCAACAAGCACTAAAACGAACTGAAAGCCAAAAAGGACAAGAGACATAGAGACATAGACAAAGACAAAATTATGTCATTTTGGATTAATTTCATTTGATCAAAATGATTGTCGACATTTTCATTTCTTAGCCTCTCTTTCTCTCGCACTTTTTTTCTCTCGCTACTTGATATTATTCTCGAAATAATAACATGTTGAATTTTGTCATTCATGGCCGGCCTTATGAATGCAATCATTTCGATTGAAAAGCGTGTTAATTTAATGACAGCTTAACGAAATGATCGCTTATTCGAAACGTCGGTTTATATATTCTTAGAAATTCAAACACCGTATATAAAGAAGTTAGAGAAAAACAAGTAAAATTTGAATGAAAAAAAAAAAAAATCCAACAAAATTAAAATGAAATGATTCACATTTCCGAATCAGGAAAATTCAATCGCATTTTATGGATTTGAATAGTGTGCTTTTGTGTCGGCAATCAACGAAAACGGATGGCACAAAATAACATAAAGGCTCCGGACGATGTTCGTGAGCTGTGGCAAACGAGAGAGAGAGAGAGAGAGAAAAAACAACAACTACCTAACGCTTAAGCGTTGCATGTGTGGCGATTGTATCGATAAAAAACTTGCATATGCGGCAAAATAATTAATTAATTGCAATGACGACTACGGCACACACACATACACACAAAAAGCGAACTCTCACACACATCTCCCCAGCTCATTGTGAAAAATCATCATGTGCACCGATATGCAACACGCAGAGAAAGTATGAAAAAATAACTCCGTCAATATACATAATTGCTAAATTATATTATGAATGAGTATTTAGTGTTTGTTTTTCATTTCATATTTTTCAAATTAATTCGCTGTCGTCGTCCCACGATGCAACAACAACAACAAAAAAGCGCCAAAAGGAATGAGCAATGTTGAGATTTATTGGTTAACGATCGTTTTTCTTCTCGCCTTAGCTCAATTGGCGGTTTTCTCTCTCTCTCTCTCTCTCTCTCTCTCTCTTGTTTGAACATGAAAAATACAAAGAATTATTTTTATTTAATTTCTCGCATTCTGGCCGCTCGCCTTTCAACCATTACAATTCCCTCCAATATAATGTTAATTTTTTCGTATAATTTTTCTTTGCATTTACGCGCGCCTGTGTACAATTTTAGAACCGTGTTTTCTTCTCTCTGTTTAATCCGTCTCTTTCTATTACGTGTTATGAAGTTTCGATTAACACAACATTAATTTCGTTGCTTTTTGCTTTTTTATATGCTGTTTGTTGTTTTTTTTCATTCCGCTGTCACTTAACTCGTTGATAAAAGAATGATGACGGTGGCAAATTTCAAGAGAACGAAGAAAAAAAGAAATGAAACTTATTTAGTTTATTAGTTGGTTAGTTAGTTTGTTTGTTTATTTGTAGCGTGTCATTGTCGGTGTAATGTGAATGAAAAAAACAAAGACCGCGTCCATTTTTGCATAACATAATTTATTTATTATATCTTGATATGCGTAATAATAAGCAATAACAATAACCGGGCACATGTTAAGCGAGTCAGGCTTGCAGCCACAGCCTTATTTAGGCGACATATATACAAATAGTCTCAAATTGATTCCGTTTGTATGATAACGAGAAAAAAAAAACGAGTTGAAAATGAAGGAACTAATAAACATAATGAGGTACACCACAAACACTGTATGCATATTCATTTTAAATTTTATTTAAACACAAACAATTCTATATTGCGCACTCGTTGCCACTCTTCCATTTCGGTGGACAATTTGATGATTGTTTTTTTGTGGATGTTGGAGGCGTTCGTAAATGCATTTGACAAACCGTCCAAATTTTAATGTATTTTTAATAAATAGGAATAAATTAAGCTATTAAACGAAATGGCATATCGCCGAAAATTGACTCCCTCATTCTATTTAACGATAACTACGTCAAATTGACGGATAGCGCAAAGAGCAAAAGAGAGAAAGACAGAGAAAAACGGCAACACTTAACATCAGTTAATCAGTTGATGGACCACATGTGCATGCGATGTGAGTGACAGAGATACAGCAAAAAAAAATCATCGTTAAATGAATCATTTCCACTTGGTCGTTTTAGTTGTGTCGATGCTTTATATTGCGATGCGTTCATTTTTGTCCTCTTCACATTTCACTTGCCCGGCCACTTCGATCGACAAAATCCATTGAGCACTTTGTATATGCACTTTGAAGAGATTTTCAATCGATTACATTACATGTGTGCGTTCTTTAGCATGCGATCAGTGCTTGCATACTTGGACTGCATTTGAAGGTCTTTGAAGTGAAATGAATGAATTATTTAAACATACACATACAAGTTTTTTAAAAAAAGGAAGAAAGAAACACACGACGGAATGGAATGAACGGTTGGCAATGCATTCGAAAGAGAGACAAAGTCATTTTCCAATTTTCATTTTAACATTCATCAAATTGCTGTGACAAATACAAAACACAGTGCATGTAAGTCATTCAAATACCAAATGGAATGCCGAGATTTTTCGCTTTTACGGTTCGCTGTTTGTACTTCAGTAAATAAATTAACATCTCTATTAACATGCACTTCAGATGTTAATGTGACAACCGTTTGTTTTGCCCGGATTTTTTTCTTCAACATATACACACGCACTGCATTGACGATTTATGTACGAATACGCATATTGAATCGGATAAAAAAAAACCGTTTTTCCACACCGCGGAAGGTTAGAAAACGTTTTATATTTCGATTAGTGTGCGGAATGTGTGAATGTGTGAAAAAAATCATCATTCAATGTGCTCTGATTTGAGCACACCGAAATAACTTATGAGCTCAATTATAATAAATATGTTTGGAGCGATTTTTTTTCCCATCGTCGTGCTTTTGTTGTGACTTCATTTTCGGGCCCATAAAATCTGGTCTGCTGAATGAATTTCAAACGAATAAGAGCGCAATCAATCGCAATAAATTACAAACAACTAACACAAACACACACATACAAAACATAATCTAATTTAGTTGAAACATCCAAGTGCAAAACGATTTTTCACATTTGAACGAAGAAGAAACGGCAACCTGAGCAAAGTTGAAAAATGAATCGAGAAAAAAAAGCCAGGCTGTTCTCTTTTCGGAAATTAATGTAGACAAGCCGCAATGCAAAATATCCGATTAACATCTCTCTTATCGAAATCTATTCCACCTTTTTCGTTTACGGTTCGATATTGAAGTTATTCGTGTAGCACCTACAAAAATAAAACAATGCAACCGAACCGAAGTAAAATAAGTAATCACTCACATAGATGTGCGTGAGCGCAAGCGCGAGCGCACCGCCAAATGCGCTCACATCACACAAAGTCAGCACAAGCGACGGCAAATTTATACTTTTTAATTACCATTTTATGTAAATAAAATCGGATTCGGACAAATAAATCAACGAAAAAATCACTTTTCCGAACGATGAGACAGAAACGAATAACGTAACATGAAAAAAAAAGAAAAACACACACACACAACAGAATAGAGACGAAATGGAAACGGGCCGAACAGCCAGCGCGAACAGAAAGAGGTTGATTTATTGCTACAGAGAATTGTACTAAATCAACGTAAGGAATTTTATGGACTTGAATGAAGTACGAATTTTTCCGTTGAGAGCACGGGGCCTGAATCGAGTAGTTTGAATATGTTTGTATATATGTATGTAAAACAACATTAACCGAACGACCCGAAACTATTTACGTTGTCGGCAAACAATTTTCCTATAGTTCGGCCCCGTAAAACTTGCCAACAAGACAGATCAGACAGAGGAACAAACCAACTCTTTTTTCTTCTTCTTCTTCTTCTTCTTTCGCTTTGTTCGGCTTGGAAAAATAGACATGCGAGAGAAAGAGAACGAAATAGAGAAGAAAATAATAGTACACAAACAGCAAATCTTAATTTTTCGTCCATGTATGAACCACGTTTGTCGGTATTTTATTTAATCCCGTAGCATAATTGATATGCCGTCGCTTTTGCATGTCTGCATACAATTTGCGTTTTCAAGTCGAAAATCACAACGAAAAACGGAACGAATAAAAAAAAATAAACAGACAGAATTGTAGAGAGGAACACACAGACAAATCGTGCTATAATATTAAGACAAACACTTTCCATGATGGTACTAATAACTATTTTATTCAATCATTTTTTTCCCCTCTTGTACATTTTCAGATGGTAATGAAGTACCTCGAATCAAATGCAACCTACGGAAACACAAGCCAAACCGAAAGCCACGAACACCATTTACAACGGTAATTGAACATGTCCATTTTATTCAGTAGTTTAGCATTAATTTTATTACATATTACGCTCGATTATTTTGTTGTTGTTTTTTTTTTAATTTGTCCACCGCTAATCATTCCCTCTCATTTTCCACACTTAATAATAATTTAATCTAATGAGATGTTTTATAATATGTGTTTTTTTTTTCTTTTTATTTTTTTGAACAAATCAGGCTCAACTACTGTCGTTGGAGAAGAAATTCCGTGAAAAGCAATACCTGAGCATTGCCGAACGAGCTGAATTCTCGTCGTCATTGCGATTGACTGAGACACAGGTGAAAATCTGGTTCCAAAATAGACGAGCCAAAGCGAAGCGTTTGCAAGAAGCTGAAATTGAGAAAATTCGCATGGCACAAATGGGCCGTACAACAGGTACAGCAATTTACATGAACATGGGAAACATCGGATATTTTGCACCACCCGGCATCATCGGTAACGGCATGCATCTGTAGTAGAAATAATTATATTGCAAATAAAAAATAAATTTGTCAGCAAAGACGATGCATCCACGGCAAATTGCATTCGCTAATTTAAATACATATGTTTTTCATTTTCTTCTCGACTGATTATTATGTTTTGAGTACATATTGCGCCATAAGAATTTTTTGAATTAAATTTTTTGAATTAAAAGCGAGAGAGCAATCAACGTTTGGCACATCAATTACATAAAATGTAAATGCACAAATTTTTTAATTCAAATGAGCCAGTCCATTGAGCAATTTAAGGAAGAAAAAAAAAACATGTCTCTCACACGGCAAATGCCAGCTAGAATTGTTTTCGCTCTAATTTATCAACATCACACACAAAACAAACAAAATCATACACACATTTATGAGTTAAATATTAAATTTTAGTGACACACACACATACATTTCATCGTTCGTGAGTAAGCTTGTAAATAGTAATTTTTAATAAAAAAAAGAAATAAAAATAAAATAAAATCGGACACTAACTCAAATACATTTAAATGAAACAAAAAAACAACAATTATTGATTAAATTAAATTATGTAGTGTGAATGGAGAAGCAACGTTTAAGTTTAATATGAATTGAAGCAAAATAAAAAACAAATGTAAATAGAATTCAAAATCCAAAGGTATTTAGTTTCTCATTTTCTTTTTCCATTTTTTTTAGTTTTGTCTTATTTCAAACATCTACCGTTTTTCCTTCCTTTCCACACATACGAACATTCGTTCCTGACTGTAAAAAAGCATATAACGTTCAATTACGTTGTGTCTCATGTTATACGATGCTCAAGTGCATTCACATGTTTCTAATTATTAACACCACTTTACACACAAACAACATTTCACTCATATCAACATACCATTAACCGTTCTTAAACTCTGCTCACCGCTCAATTTGCCACCAATCACCATAATCATCGTCATCTCTCAACAAAAAAAAAACCCAAACAAAACGAACAAGAAAATTGAAAATAATTTTATCAGGAGACATAGAGAGTGTATTATTTATCTCAAATGCACGCAATGTGATTTTATTTTGTGTTTAGAACTTTTTATTTTATTAGTTATTTAAGGATAATATCATAGAAAGAAAAAAAATAATGTGTAAAATAAAGCAGAAATGAAGAAATAAGAATTCTATAACTTAAAAACACACACAGACACATCTTTTAGTCATTAGAAAAGAAATAAAATGGCACAGAAATGAGAGAAACAAACCAGATTTTAAAAAAAGCAAAAAATTGAATGTATCTAAAGAAGAAAATTACAAAAATACATATTAAAATATATGGATAAGATAATCAGTAGATATTGGTAATTATTGTTTAGGTTATTGAGATAATGGAAAAGCAAAATGAACAACAACAAATTATATATGTATAAAGACAAAAAACAAATACAATAATATTAAATAAACTGTAAGAAACTGAAAGTCTTCAAACTACACGAAAATCATGTTGTTTTATTTAATTTTTGTTAAAATTTACACACTTTTTATCCAACCAGCATCGATTGAATTTTCATTTTGGAATTCGCATGATGAAAGAATGAAATCAATCAATTTTGCGAAAAAATACATATTTTCGAAACATTTGTCAAGTTTTTGAATATTGAGCATCGTTAACGTTGATGATGCATCTTCATGTTTTTAAAGAGAATAAACTCTCCATTATGAATTCTCGACAGCCACGCTTAATATTGACAATACACGCAATTTACTCTTTCTTTCGTTATTCCGTGCTTTTGCTGATGCTCTTTGCAGGTATACCCTTTTTTTGCTACAACATCGAATGCACTTTAATTTTTCGAAAATCTCGACGTATTTGAAAAAATCCTTGAAAAGTGTTTAAAAAATTCTTCATAAAATACATGAAATGGATTTTGAAAGATGAACCCATTAAATCTGCATTGATACATTCATCTGAAAATCGAATTAGTTCGTCACATTTCATCGATTGCATATAAACAAAGAGAAGAAGCATGTGTAAAATCCAAAACTCGAAATTATTTCGATTATATGTTATCCGATTGCCCATCTAATACGACATCTTTTGTGATGTTTTATCTGAATTTGTGTCTGTTTCGATGTTCTGTTTCGCCACCGCCTATCATTTTCCTATTGGGATGAAACAGGCCTACATACATAATACAGCAACCGAACTAAAGAGAAATCGAAACATTAATGCAAAAAATTAATAATGGTGATAAATTGCACTTATTTAAAGTACATGAGAATTATTTGACGAACAGCATGAAATATACTATTATAAAGGTGTACTTATAAACGAATCCATTCAGCTTATATTCGAAAAATCAAACCAAACAAATAGTTTTAAAATGAACTTATAAACTATTGTCGAAGCTGAAGTAATCGCTTAATCGGATAAGGCATGTTGTTTGTTTGGATATGAGTAAAATGTTGTACAGACACTGAATAAAAAAAAAACCAAATTAACCAACGGGGCAAATTCTCGAGAAAATCAAAACATCAACACAATACACAGTACACACAGAGAGAGTGAGAGAGAGCGAGAGCAGCAAACACGGAACAATAGACTCACAACTGAGTGGAAAAATGAAATTATGAAAATCAATTTAATTACCTGGTTCCTTGTAGTTTGTTAAAAAAATTTGGTGTTCGGGCCGGTGTGTACTCACTTTTTGCCATTCTCTTTCGTCGTGTGTTTGGATCATATATTTCTGTTGCAAATTTTAATGGGATTACGCGAAAAGCATCAACGACAGCAACAAACAAAAGCAACAATAAGAATTATTCAGTGTTATAATAAGCATTCCAGCCAAGTCTCTCTCTCTTTCTTTCGTTCGTGCACTGGATCTTGAAGCAGTGCAATATGGATTTGTTGTTGGTGTTTGTGTCACGTTCACAAAGCACATATATAGTGTTCAATTGACTTTTTGAAAATGCTCAACTGGATTAACTCATACAAAGCCAATAAATAGATTTACTTCCCACCTCAACACAACAATGGAATGCGCATCAAGTACACAATGCAAGATAACAAAAAGCCAATTTTCGTTTTATTTTCTCCTTGCTCTCTCTCTCTCCCGCTCTTTCCTCGCCTTTCTTTTGCGCTCGCTCTCACTCAGACAATTTTTTTTTTGTGTGAAGATGAAATTGATCATGTTTTACGGTGTGTACAATATGCCACATATAAATACAGACATATCGAAATTCTTTTTGGTGCTGTACTAGTAATTTCAATTCTTTCACAACGTGTTTTTTTTGTGTGTGTCATTGAATTAGGTTTAAATTTCAATTTACGGGGGTGGCCCATGAAGAACACTGAAGAATTGAATTACAAAGTGAACGGCATACAGATGCTAAATTAACTCTCAAGTATGAGACACACAAAAAGTGTCATTGCATGAATGAAAACAATGGCAAAGAGCAACATCATAAACACAAAATACAGTGATAACAATACAATTGAAAACAACATCTTTCTTTCATTCGAAATTCGTTCTTTTTTTCATGTGCTTGCTTTTTTTTCGCAGATACAATTTTTCCAAACACAAAGATCACAAAGCAAAGTAAGAAAAAAATTAAGAGAAAAAGTTGTCAACAGGCATGCAAGTGAATGATGTTTCAAAGTATCTACAAATCAAAATAAAAAAAAATCATACAGACAAAAACCAATCGAAAGTCATAAGATTTAATTTTGAAGAAGAAAATCCAACTCAAAACGGAGATGACGGCACTCACACACACACATCCACGATTGCACAAAGCAAAATTGAGTAAATTGACATGTGTCAAAAATTATAATTGCACCTATAATGTTCAGAGAAAAAAAAAAGCACCAAAGAGAAAGAAGGAAAAAAAACTGCAAGCAGAAAAAACCGCATCAAAAAATAATTATGATTGACAGATTACAATCGAAGACAGTTGTCATTGAGTATACCTAGACATTTTGAGCGTAGCATGTACGAAAGATTCGTTTTTTTTGTTGTAATGAAAATATCAAAGGAATGAAATTAGAGACAGCATTCAATAATTGGTTTGCATATTGGGATTTGAAATGTGTTTATTTTGTTGATTTGATGTGCATACTCCATTCGCAATTAAATACGCATTTCTATATTTGCCAATTTTTTACGGGTTTTTTTTTCTTTTTCACTCGGGTGATCGATTGTTGAATTTTCATTGTGCTCTGTTCGTTTGGTTGATCGATATGAAAGCAACCACCACCCGGTGTTATACCAAATTTTCAAAGAAAAAAAAATCGATTGAAAACCATCGCAACGGGTCAAATTGATTCAAATGAAAAATGCTTTCTTCTCTTTGTTTGTTTAAAAAAAATTGTCTTCTTTTATGCAAAAGATTCAATGACAATTCATGCAGCGCCACGGTGGCATGTTAATTGCTTGAAGTGATTGATTTTTTGAAAAATCGCCGCATAATCGTTTGCCAATTGAAATTGGTGAAATGTGAAAAATTTCGTGTTGAGACTCAAGCTTAAAAATTCATCATTGGACTTTGTTGTGCATCGCGATAATCGATTGAAATGTTCAATTGTGACCATTACCAATTGTTATATAAGCTAAAATGAATGTTATTTGTTTTGTGGCGATTGAAAGCCACACGGCGTCAATAAACGGCATCATTAACCACAACAGCAACAATACACACACACATGCATACGCAAACATGACACGAATACTTCCTGCCGTTCCATTAAAAATCAATTCACGAACAAATATATTACACTCATATTCACTTACCCCGAAAGTTGTGTATATATACAAAATGAAACAAAACGAAAATGCAAAAAAAAAAAATTGTAAGGGCAATGGGAGAAAGATGAGCGATGCTTGTCGAATTCGTCTGCACGACGGATCAAGAGATTGGCTATATGTGCAAACCGCAGTGCAGTTATTAATGTGTGTGCGAGTGTGTATATATTTATCAAATATCACATGAAAAACAATTATTAATTTAGCTTCCTCTGGCCGAACTGTTTATTCGTTTTATTTTTGTTAGTGTTGAGACGCCCCCTGAACTTGCCTTTATCCATCCCATCATCATCGTCGTCGTCATCGTCGATGTCGTCGTACCGACTTTTGCCTTCGAGTCAAATGATTCTTAAATGAAAACGTAACCGAAATTTCATTGTGTGCGAGCTGTGAGCTCACCACAAATGGCAAACACACATCGATTATTTTTATTTACATTTGTGTCGTTGTTCGGCTTCATAACAGACCATATATACATATTTTCTCTTTCTCTCTTGTTTATGCCAATCGACTGATTTCACGAGTGCACACAACATTTTTTTTTTTCTGTATGCTCATGATGACGTTTCGTAATTTAATACGAATATGATTATGTCGAGAACAATAACAGTAATATTGATGACGATGAGATGTTGACGGCGACACAAAACGAAGTAGAGAGAAGTAGAGAGAAAGAAAAAAAACATCAAAAATCATAGAGATGTAATAATAAAAACGGCGGGTGGGATTTCCAAGAGGTATTATTAGGTTCAAATGAGACATCCAACTGAGTCAAAGTTAGTGCCACAACCAGATACAGAGCCAAAGAACCCAATATTCAGCTGAACCATCAATCCCATGTGCATACGCATATGATTGGCCACACTTGGATCGAAAACACTTATTTTTTTTGCATCTTGTGTCGCCCGTACCATTCCACATAGTGATATTAATTTTCCAACAATCTACACTCAAAATGCAACTAATATTAAATTTCATTCATTGATTATGTTGTTAATAATATGAATTGAATTGTCTATATATGAAACAATCCAGTCTATCACTTGCATTATGCTGAATATTCTATTTTGAATAAATGATCTTGATTTGATTGATGCTCGAATTGATGTCAATACATTTGGAGCCAGCACAGTAGTTGAATTCGGATTGCATCAACAATCGGTTAATGATACAAATTCGAGACACAAGTAAAAAAAAAATCAAGCCCAACTTGTGAAACATAATTGAAGAATGTTGTGTGCCCCGATGTCTTGTGTACCGATGCATAACCGTTTGGCGCACAAACAAAATTCGCAACATTTAGATACAGTAATTATAATTATAAGTAAATTACACACTGTTTATCTGAATGGCTACACTACGCGC